TTGCATATTATATGCTTTTCATATTATAAAATAACATGGCATATTTTCTACAGAGATTTCTAAGATTCCTTAGAAAACATGGTGCTGGTGATTTACCATTGGTGAGAGTTATTTTCAAAAAATAAAGTGTTAGTGTAGTTAGGGATAAAAATTTTAAAAATACTTGAATTTTGAAAAAAATATGTTTTATCACACACACACACACACACACACACACAAAAGATGAGTTATAATAAAGACAGAATAAATACATGTCATTTTGTACATTCTGGGGGTTGCCTGAATAACAGCACCATGAGAATGAAAGTAGACTAGAGGTGGATGCTAATATAGGAAAGACATTCAAACGCATATCCAAACAAACTATAACTTTACCTCTGGTTTTCTATTTCATATCTCTCTAACTCACTCCATATTCCTTTAGGCAATAGACATCATCAGTTCTTCATGTCTAAGCATGCTCTGTTAATTTCATAAATATCTGTTGGAAAGTAAGGACAGTTAGTGTTTTGTTATCATTTTATAAACCTATTCAATTTATGGGCATAAATTTCGTAGACAAAATATATTAAATATCAGTGACCATTAATAGATAGAGATGAATGAAAAGTAATATTGGCCACAGAATTTCATTACTACTGTTGAAAAAATCTGAGGACCTCTCATATCTAAAACTGAGAGCAAATGACTCATTTGATAGAAGGCTTGACAGATCCCTTGCTTACACTCTTTGCCCATTGAAAGGGAGAAATATGCTTTGAAAATGCCTTTAGCTTTTGGAAATTCCTTCAGAATTCAGAAGTTTAGTTTTTATCTTTTATTATATGACCAACAACTTCTATCACAACAGAATCAAGGCCAGTTGGTTTTCAGCTCCTACTGCAATGTTAAAATTAAATAATAAAGAAGACTTCTATTTGGGTATTTTTTGAAGCAGTAAAGGAGTTTTATTTGCTCAGTCCCTAACTCAAATGTGATTAAGAGTTAAATTTATTGGCTTTGACATTAAGCCTGTGAGTTGAAGGATACCAAAATGAGATTATTTAGAACAGGATCATCTGCTGTGGGCTCAACACCTGCAAATACAGTGTTTTGAACATATATAAAGAACTCAATATGGCATACCTTTCCTACTGACATGATATAAAGTCCTCTACACATTCAGAGGTCAACATTAAGCGTAGCAGTTGCAGCACATACAGCAGCCTGTCCTTTACTTTTCAGCTACGAGGTGTCCTTCAAACTAGATTTCTTCCCTTAAAAGTGTGTTGCAAGGTCAGATCCTATGTCCTGGTCTAGATCATTGCATGGAGACAAACAAATACTGGTCATCATTTACAAGTGTTTGAAATGATATATAAATATGAGTGGATTAAGTCACATTACAGACCCTGGTCAGAGAATCAATTACATATTTGAGTTGTAAAACAGCTAAATATGTGTTCTCAAGTTTTTACCCTACTGTACATTTCAGAATTGACAATTTACTTGCTTTTTATGATCTCAAAGAGAGACTGGCCTCATGCAGAGAAAGCAATTCTGATAAATACACTCTTCTCAAACTGCACTGTCTTATAAGCCATCAAAGCAATTTGAAAATCAATTTGATATTTGACAGGGAGCCAATGTATTACCTTCAGGATACAACTGACATGCTGAGGCCACTTAGTGAGAGGAAAATTCTGACGACACCATTTTGCCAAAGTCAGAATATCTGCAGTATTGTCTCAGAAAGATCATAGAATCAAATATGTTAAGAATCTAACTTAGAGGTCAAAGTTCAAAACATCGGAAGCTTTAACATGTACACACAACTGGCACAGCTGGTTTCTGACAAGATGATACCATTACATTCTTTTTTTTTTGACAAGGGATGTACTGAAGTGTTCGGCAGTTCCCAGGCATTCTTTATTAAGCAGTAAGCATGAGCAAACTAGTGAAAAGTTTCCTTAGTCTGTTGGGATCATTCACTGATACTTTTAAATAATTTCTGCAGAGATGACTCAAAAAACTGATTCTTAAGAGCAAGGATTTTTTTCTTTTTTTTTTTTTTTCCATCTGAAATGGTAAGTGTGTATCAGATTACTGATATTCATAAAATATTTCTTATGGAAAATGTTGTTTTCTCTGTATTGTTTTGCATAGTTATTTTGAATTACATAAATGGATTTTTTTCTAGATCTCCAGCAACTCAATATTTCTATAGTTATAGTAAAATCAGTGGTATTACTTTGTGTTACATAAAATGAGGTATAGACCCATTGTCTCTGCTTTTAATTAAAAAGTTGCAGCAGGTTAGTTTCAAATGGAAAAGGGAGGCAATATTCTCACAGGTTACAAAAAATAACTATTTAGAAACATAGATTTTTACCACAGGCAAGAAAGGTGAAATTTTTGATATTCTTTTCAAAGATATAGACAAGATAATGGTTGTAAATGGTCTAAAACCAGAACAAGTATATATTACTCCCCAAAAGACTAATCAATGAAGGTTGCACAGGTCACCATGAGCTATAACTGTCAAAACCTTACAAATAAAAACTGTAGTTCAACAGACATTCTCCAAGGTTGATCAAAACACTTTTTGAAAAAATTTTTAATCATGTATGAATAAATTACAAAATTTTAATAAGAAATTAACAAATTAACAAGAAAAATGGAAAAACAGAAGAGCTGTAAATATGTGCTTATTGAAGGGGAACTTAACTGTGGATGACATTAGCAATCTTGACGATATTAATTTCTCATAGTCATATGTAGATCACAGATAAGAATTTAATAGATACACTGAGACATGGAACAGTTAAGGCATTTGTACAAGGTCACATGGGAAGTCTCTTGCAGAGTAGGAATAAAACTGCTCTATCATCCTATCCTTAATAATATTTACCTTTTCACTAAGTCATTCTCCTGCCAGAAGATGAACCGCTTTCATGTTAAAAAACATAAAAACAACTAAGGATCACTTTGGCACCAGCTGGAAATAAGGGTGAGTAAAGGATAGTGACAGCTACTACTCTGAATTTCCTTTCAGCTAGACATGCAGAATAATGCCATTTGAACTTCTGTTGATTTACTGATATATATTTTCCCCTATTCATTTCCCATAGTCTGCCACATCATGTGGGTAATCTATTTCTTGAGAGATGTAACTGTTATTACACTTGGGACCAGCTAGCTGTATTTTTCTTTATCTTTAATGCTTCTACACTTAGTTATGCTTACAGAACTCCTTGGAAAAGATGGTGTACTTTGTCATAAGGCATAAATCTTCTTCACAAAGTGTTCTTTAAACTCTGAATACATTGTTAAGGAACAGAACTGCATCAGTAGTTTAGTTGTACACCAGCTGACATAGTTAACATCATAAGACTGTGGCAACTGTAACTACTAGTTCCATTGCAATAGTCCCCGAAATGCTGCTGTGCAATCCAGACCCAGAAAAAGATTTGTAAGGAACAAACTGACAAAGTGTGAGTTACCTCACATGTGGTGCTCTTTTTCATTCTGCCAAAGAGAAAGAAGAATGAAAAATGAGAAAAGGTAATGAAAAAAAGACAAAGATTTGCTTTATAAATAAAGTAAATACAGTAAAAACAAATAAATACAGTAAATACAGTAAAAAGCAAAGTGATCTGGGTAATGATAAGATGTCCTATTAACTATAGAGATTAGTTTACTACAGTCATTTAGTCAGGCTAAGTTTAGGACTGCAGATCAAATTATTGCTTTAGTAAGTCTTACTAAACTAGCCACTTTCACCTTTTGGTCTTTGTGCTAATGTGTTTTCAATGACCATGTTAATTTAGGTGAGATGTAACTCATTCTGCTAGTGTAAATCAATGCAATTTCTTTTGTGTAACTTTACATACGGGCAGCCTGGTAATCAGTGACAAATGAACAGACCTTAATATTAGAAATATATAGCTAATACTATGACAGCTTATAATTTCACACAAGATAGGGGTGAACAAGAAGGCAAAACATTGGCAAATCGTTTAAGTGTAGAGTCATCTAAAAAAGAACAAATTTGTCTTCACAAATATAGAACTAAAATACTTGAGGCTGTTTGTTCTCAGAAATTAACTTTTATAATCAGTGTTCTAATGCAAATGTGGTTCTTACCCATTTTTTTCTGTAAAAAAGAAACATATTGAATATATGTATTCCAACAGGGAAAGTATCCTCAACATAATGAAAAAAATATCAGGTCAAATCCTGAGATACCTGTATGTACAGAATTAAAGTACAAGAAAGCTCCACAAAGACAAGTCTATGCAGTGGTTTTTTTCATTTGTTATTTTACATGATAAAGAACAAGACCTTCCAGCAGATCTTTACATAGGTAACAGCACATGCTGTGCATAAATAACAGTGAGGTCAGTAGGTCAACTTCCAATAAGAACTACAAATATAATCCTGTCATGGGAGAACAGAAGAGAGTATCAGTTGCACTAAATACTCTTTCCCCTGTAAAGTAATCAGTAGTACTCCAGGTAATAAACCTGCAGTGGTATTAACTAGAGAAGTCAAAGAAAGACCCCTGAGGAACTATAGAAATGACAGCTACTAATAGCAATAATTTTAGTGCTGAAATGCTGGAATGCTTACCTTTAGCCCTAAATTCAAGGTACTTGCATTGTAATTTTCTTTGTTTGCTTTTGAACCATTGGTATTCAGTATGAAATTAAAGCTGAAATGTATATAGTTAATGAGGAGATATTATTCAACAAGGGCCAGAACAATCTAATTTAGCATATTTTTAATAAATCACAGGCTTTAAAGGAAAAGCCATGAACATGATCTCTTATTATCTGTTACTGTCCGGAAGACCCTACATGGCTGACAATCATCTGGACAATTATCAGTATAGTAGTCTCAAATGGAGGGTTGAAACCTGGCATGTTGCAAATGAAGAGTTACACACAAGGGTATATTGGACTCAATGATGAAATCTTAATATCAGGTATCACCTTTGTCTATCAACAAACAAACTTTACAATCTTTTGAGAGAAATTTAGATGACCATTAGAGCATGCAAGTAGGAAAGACATGATGAGAAGACATATAATTCCTTCCTTTTCTCTCCACATTTAATTCTTTCCACCCTTCAAATAACATTAGAAATAACAAAATGTTTTAGCATTCTTTAAGAAAGAAGCCTTTTTATTCTGTGCCACTCTGGCCAGCTAGTTGGACAGCAGAAATGATGGGATAAATCAAGGAACCCTTTTAGTATCTACCTATTATCTAGGTATGTATATGATCAAACTTTATTATTATATTTGTGACAGTATCAGCAATGCCAAGAAAAAACATAGTCTAAGATTTAAAATCAGTACTTTTACTGCGTCCAAGAAAGGAATATAAGGTCTACCAAGATGAATCACATAGGCCTAGACTACACTGAAGAAAAAAAACAACAAACAAAAAAGTCCTCAGAACAGACAAGATACAACGAGAAAAGTTCTTTGCATGTACCACTGGAATTTGCAGATACTATTTGTTTGGGACTGCCCTCCCAACATGGGCAAAATTTACCAGGGCTACAACAGTTGTTTCCAAAGAGAGTAAGTTCTTGGATAAGTACCTTAGTAGAGGATTCAGGATGAGAACTGGATTTCTTCCATTTAATAACATATCTTCCAGTTAAAACAAAACCGAAATAAAGTGTGGAAATACATATAAAAAGTATTCATCTTGCTTGATCTAAGGTTGATTCATTTATCTGATTTCATTGATTCATCCTGGCCTAATTATTTTTAATATAGTGACAGTGAACAACATTTTCTGTGAAACCGCTGCTGCTGGAGTCCTTGCTAACTAACAAATTCAGCAGAAAGTGTGTGTGCCAGAACTGTGCTGAGAATCTGTGTATGCCACGTCATGTCCATCTGCTGTATACAACACATGCCAGTCTCTTCAGTACATGCTGGGAAGACAAGGATGCAGTGTAGGGAAGCAGAAGAAACTAAATGCAGAATATAAATAAGACATATATCTGATTTCTGCACCATTTTTTTTTTTTTTGTTATATGTCCTTTCACATTAGTTCTTGTTAAGGTCAATGACCATATGCCATTTTCTAAGCAGAAGACATAAGCAATTAACTTTGTACTAAGGTGAGTTATTCATACTATGCATACTAGTATCAAGCTTTCTAATTTCCTGAAATAAGCAGGATTAGAGCTGCCAACTTCTGCTATGTACTCCTGCTTCTGTGGTCACTATTTCTGGCATACATTTCCACATTAGAAACTGACTCGTTGAAATTACGGTATTATATGGAAAAGAGTACAACTTAAATCAACCATTAAAAACAAGACAGACTCCAAAATTCATACACTCATGAAACTCTTTGCATCTGCATGGTACAGCTGAGGATATCTATTATTATATGTAGCACTCAAATCTGTGTGTAGATCAATGAAGAGATGGTAGACCTATCTAGAAAAGAACAGTCTTACCAACAAACCAAGCAGCCAAACCCAACATATTTGGTGTGCAGACAAATCCTGCACAGGTAACACTTGAATAACTGTTTACTGCTATACAGCTGTGCAGTTGAGCTTTACATGATTATTAAGATGTGAATTTTTGCTTTTTCCGTCTGGGAAGTTCTTCAGTTAGGACACACATCCTAGATATATTCAGATGGGAAATTACACCTCTCAGAAGGTGTATAGAAAATTCATAGTGATAAAACTCTGGGAAGAGATGCAATCACTTTGGAACTCTGGCAGAAAAGTAATATAGAGCTCAACCAAACCACTTGAGGGCAACTTGGTGTTGTGGAACTACAGTCTGTCAGAAACAACATAGGAGGGTATTCACAAAGTATTCTCAAGTGACAAGTGAGCTCCCATCTTCACTGAAGGTGGGTAAAAGTACCAAGAGAAACCAAAGCACTCTTGCTGTCACTGCCTTTTTTTGTTCATTTCAGTGTTTCACCCTAGGAGTTTAGAGAAAGTGTTGCCTGTATTTTAGGTATATTTCAGTACACTTTTCCGAGGGTGTTGTTTGAGCCTGGTCAGCAGCTAAACGCCACACAGCCGCTCACCCACCCTCCCCCCACTTGGGAACGGGGAGGAAATCGGAGGTGCAAAGGGAGACTTGCGTGTTGAGATAAAAACAGTTTAAAAACAGTAACAGAACAACACGCTGACAGCAGTATCAGCGGGTAATGTACAATACAGCTGCTCACCACCCGCCAACCGACACCCGCCTGCTCCCGCCTGGTGATCCCCAACACAAAGGCCCCACAGCCACACTCCCAAAAGTATGGGCTGGATGAGCAGACAGTGGAGTGGCTTGAAAACTGGCTGAGGGAGTTGCACAAAGGCCCAGGGAGTCGTGATCAGTGGCACGAAGTCTAGTTGAAGGCCAGTAACTAGGTGTGTATGCCAGGCGTCAACACTGGGGCCAGTCCTCTTCAACATCTTCATTAATGATTTGGATGACGGCACATAGTATACCGTCAGCAAGTCTGTGGGTGACACAAAACTGGGAAGGGTGGCTGATGTGTCAAAAGGTGGTGCTGCCATCCAGAAAGAACCTCAACAGACTAGAGAAACTGCTGACAGGAATCTCATGCAGTTCAGCATAGGGAATTACAAAGTCCCGCACCTGGGAAGGAACAACCTCCCCCAGTATATGCTGGTGAAGTGGTACTGGCAGCACCAATATACACTGGGACTGACCAACTGGAAGGCAACTTTTCAGAAAAGTACCTGGGGCTCCTGGTGGATATCAAGTTGAACATGAGGCAGCCCTGTGTCCTGGTGGCAAAAAAAAACAAAAACAAACAAACAAACAAACAAACAAACAAACAAACAAACAAACAAACAAAAAAAACAAAAACAAAACAAAACAAAAACAAAAAAAAAAAAAAAAACAAACAAAAAAAAAAACAACCAGTATCCTAACAGTATCCTGGGCTGCATTAGGGAAGTATTGCCAGCAGGTGGAGGGAGATGATCCTTCTCCTCTACTCAGCACTGTGTGAGGCCACACCTGGAGTGCTGTGTCTAGTTTTAGGCTCCCCAGTACAAGCAAGACCTGGACATACTGGAAAGAGTCCAGCAAAGCTCCACTAAGATGATGAAGGGACTAGAGCATCTCTCCTGTGAGGAAAGACCGAGAGAGCTGGGACTGGTTAGCCCAGAGAAAAGAAGGCTCAGAGGGAGGATCTTATCGGTGTGTACTAACACCTGAAGGGAGAAGTTGCAAAGAAGGCAAAGCGATATTGAATTCAGTGGTGCCCAGTGACAGGACCAGAGGCACTGAGCACATGTGGAAACAGAGGAGATTCCCTCCGAACATCAGGACACACTTTTTTACTGTGAGGGTAAGAGAGCACTGGCTCAGGTTCCCCAGAGAATGTGTGGTGTCCCACATTGGAGATATTCAAAAAACACCTGGATGTGGGCCAGGGCAGCTGACTCCAGGTGTCTCTGTTTGAGCAGGGAGGTTGGACCAGATAACCTCCAGAGGTCTTTTTGAATTTCAATCCTTCTGTCATTCTGTAATACTGAGTTTGCATTTGAAAACTACTTAACACTGAGTTGTGAAAAAAAACCTTAGTGATTTTTTAAAAATTATTTTTCTTTCCCTGAGCTTAGTTAACAGTACTTTATGAAATATCTCTGAGCCAGAAAAGAATCCAAAACAATGTCTTCTGAGCAAACAGATCAATCATTTCACTTTGTTCCAGAATTACTGGGCCCAAAAATTTCACAACATCTTTTAAATTGGTGTGGTGCTTAGTCAGACTTGATATGGGATACTATCTCCATGTCAAAACAGGAGACTTAACATACTCTGTGTGTTCAAGGCTCTTCTGGTTCACAGGTACGTCATTTCACTGTTAACACATACATTTGGGAAAGGGGAAGAGGCTGTTAGACTATATGTGTTTATTTGCAGCATTCCTTCAGATCTTTAGAAATCTTATTTAATTCTGCCTTACTATTTGAATCAGCAATTATACTCTTAGGTGACTCCTGAAATCAGTCAATGATCAGATTTTTTTTACTGCTTCCCTGTATCTTTTTTCTCTTAATTTTCTTCAGCCATCCTGACATGTAGCTTTGTCCTCATGACGTCAACTCTCAGACTCTCTTCTGATCTTCCTGACAGCCCAGAGGTCTCTCTAGTGTTTTCACTTACCAGCCTCCAGCATGGCCCCCATCCCTGCTCTTCTTGAAACTCCATAAAAAGTCCATTGCCACTGCTGTTAATATGACACTTTCTTCTGGCATAAAATACTCAACTTAAATTTACACAATCTTTTTCTTTTACTGGAAATAGAAAGCCTGAATATATAATGTAGAACAACTTAGTTAAACATTAAACACTTTAGTTAAACTCTCTTTTGCTATTTACAGTATCTTTTGCATAATTTTTTTACAAATCACAGTTCAACTGCTTGCAAATAAGTATGCTGAATAGGCATAAAGAACTATGTCTATGAAAGAATATAACCTTAAAAGTCTTGCTTATTTGAGAAAAATGTTGATTTTTTTTTTTTTTCAAAATAGGATTTTTATTAATGTTTTCTAACTTGCAAACCAAATTAAGTGAACAGTTATAATGGCTGTACTGGAGTGTAATTAATATTTGGGTTTTTTTATGTTATATTTTTAATACTGTATGCCACTAGTCTTTGGCATCTTTTAAAAAATTGAGTCCTGTTATACTAACATACTGGTAAGACAAATTATGCAGTTATAAATGTCAGGTAGAAATCATAAACAAATATTTTTACAGTTACATGTATATTTTTGAGTCCATATTTCTCTCACACACGCACTCCTTTTTTTAGTATTACATTTTTTCTTTAGATTTTCCATTTGGTCTTTTATATGTCTCAGTTGTACTGAATTATGTTTTCTTGCTAGAAAAGGTCAACATCTGAAAATAGGAACCATAGTGATTTGAACACTAAGTACATGATTTCTAAGAACCTTGGCATATATTTATCTTCAACTGTTTGACATACATTATGAAACCACTTGACTGTGACCTATTTCGTATAACTTAAAGGCTAAAATGTACTTGTTTCACAGTTCTCTTTCCCAACTGGCAAACTCTAATGAGAGCAGAAGATAGCACAAAATTAATCCATTCTCACAAGGCATTAACAAGGAATGAGGACTAGAGCAAAAGTAATAGTTTCTTACAACAGTCTTTCTCTTGTGATCACAGATGCTTTTAGGAGAGACTGAAAAAAGCATTTTCCAAAGCTCAGTGATTGCACTAACGTACATGTTCATGTAGGCACAAGAGAAAAGCCTTGCAATGAAGAAGAGAAATTCTGAAATCATAAGCACTTTCTGACAGAATGACCTTCACAATCTGACAAACTGTTTCAGTAGACAGAGACTCCAAGTATGAGAATTGGAAATCATCAGAAGCTACAAGTAATTGTACTCCACCAAGGAAATGTGACAGTCTGACCTTCTGACTCATAGATCTCAACAAGTCTGGACACTCTGAGCAGTGATAAAAACCATCAAAAGACAGTGTAAGCTGTAGCAGGCCAAAACAACATGATAATTTGACCTTCTGGTTTGGGAATCCCTGTAAGGCCTGCCCAGGAGGCTCTACCATTATAAACAAAAGGAATGTTCACGTCTAGTGCGCATTTAGGAAAGGCAGACAGGAAACAGGGACACAGAATTTCTACGTTTGAGCACTTATGCTTACACTTAGAGACAAGTCATGTTTTCTGTAATCAGAAATCATTAAATTGCTTTTTAATATTGCAGAATTTAATTCTGTCATCAGAGTTTATCATCTCACATGCTTCAATCCCATAAACTTTTTGAAACAAGTCACAAAAGAATTAACTTCACATAATTTCATCCAGTTCTGAATATAATTTATATAATATTATGTATATAAATTGTAAAGCTCCAATTCATGATATAATACATATAATATATAAAGTTCCATTTCAAAATCTTGTTGAAAAATTTTGCTGTTATAACAATACTATTGATTTCCATTAGTTAGGAAAATTAATAAAAATCCTGCCATACTGCTTATGAACACTTTAAAACTCTGTGTTATTCCCTGTTTATGAAGATCTTGGAACAAATGGACACAATAAACATGCCACTTACTCTGTTAAGATTATAGTTAAAAAGCAGAACTTCACTCACTTTGGATTTTGAAACTCTTTCTCTCAATCACAGTTTACGATGACTTATTTTAGTTCTGGTCATACTCCTTGTCTCCTCATGCTGCAACAACCAAGCAATGAGAAGAGGGAGTTTGCAATATACCTTCATGGGGGTATGCGCATATAAAGAACTGTCTTTTATGATTGTTTTAGGTCTAATTTATAACTATACCATTTTTACTAGCTAAGTATTTTGCTAGATAATTCACCAGAAGTTTAAGAATACATTTAAAACAGTGTGTGTGTGAAGATTGCAAAGATAGCTGTTTTTACCTAAAAAAAGTGTGAAGGGTCAATCAGGTCTTAGAAGATAATTCCCTGAAAATTAATTTACTTTGTCTGATTGAGCTTTGCTACCTTCTGACAACCTAACGTGTTAGGACAAATTGGGAGAATCTTATATTCTTGTGTAAAGCTGCTAACAATATTCAGACAAAGTTTGAGCCCAGTCTTTGGTAATCAGTATGAGCAAGTTAGAATGCCATGCAGAATTTATCAGAAAAATTTTAAGTGAAATATAAGGTCTTGAAGTGAAGGATAAATCTAAATATATTTTCACTTTTCAGTAATAATCTGAAGAAGTCAAAAACCCCTGTGGCTCAAAATGAAAAATTAGTTATTCCTTAGAGTTAGTATTTAGCAACCTGCTAATAATACAACATCTATCTGTGTCCAACAGTTTTGTATCAATATTTGTAAATATTTGATAGCAACGTATATATCTATTGTATTACAGTTTTGTTTATATTTGATAATGATTTATGAGCTGAACTAAACTGAATTATAATCATGGATCCAGCTCTACTCAGATCCAGTATAATTTCAGAATATCTTTAATTATGCAGTAAAATGGACACAGAAGTATTCCTGGAGAGTCAAGAGTACCATATGACTATTTAAAGATGTTACAGATAGGATAAAATGAGATATCCTATGGGAAATCTGAGAACAGATACTACTTTTCTAGAATTTGTCTCAATTCTGGCAAAAGTGACATGTAATAGAGGGTGTTGCTTGAAAAGAGAGTAAGTTTGAACATATTTGTGTTCTTCAAGATCTTAGTGCACATAGTCAGCTTGGATCCTAAAAGCCAAAAACTCTATCTTTGTGAAGCTTTGTGGTTATGTATCTTATGTATTATCTTTTTCTGGATGAGTATTGTCCTGGTTTTGTTTGGGATAGAGTTAATTTTCTTCCTAGTAGCTGGTACAGTGCTGTGTTTTGGATTTAGTATGAGAGTAATGTTGATAACACACTGATGTTTTAGCCATTTCTAAGTAGTGTTTATCCTAAGTTAAGAATTTTTTGGTTTCCCATGCTTTGCCAACAAGGAGGTGTTGAAGAAGCTGAGAGGGAGCCTGGCCAGGACAGCTGACCTGAATTAGCCAAAGGGATATTCCATACCATTATATGTCATGCTCAGTATATAAAATGGGGGGAGTTGGCTGGGGGGTGGGGGTCACTTCTTGGGGACTGGCTGGGCATCAGTCAGTGGGTGGTGAGCAATTGTACTGTGTGTCACTTGTCTTTTCTTGGGTTTTATTTATTTCTCTTTTTGTTATCTTCTTTTTCATTATCATCATCATCAATCATCATCATCATCATCATCCAGTTATTAAACTGTGCTTATTTTAACCCATGAGTTTTACTTTTTTTTTTTTTTTTCCAATTCTCCTCCCCATCCTACCAGGGGTGAGGGAAGAATTGAGCAACTTGCTGTGTGGTGCTTAGTTACTGGATGGTGTTAAACAATGGCATGTGGTATATCTAGAGAGTGAGACAGTAGATCCTTTGTCTCATTGACATTACAACAAATTCAGCACGTTCTCTCCAGAAGTCATCAAAGCCAGTACTCACACAAGTTTGCAATTCTGGGTGAGACCATTACTGATAACAGTCCTGAGAGAGATCAAAAAACAAACAGCTGTAAATGTGCCAGGAA